GGCCAAAACGTGTCACTACCTCCGAAGAACCATAACATCTTTTCACCAATTTCCATTGATTAACCAACAGACACCCACCCTTGCATTCCATCACCRCACCARTTGACMCCATCTCACGACACTTATTTAAGATYTTAARRAGGCTTACCGTAGCATAACSATCTGCARTAGTAAAAGTCAGGTGTGTTCGATTTACCCYGATACTTTCCTTGGACTTATCAGCCACCCTCTCCTTTCTTCGTCGCTCACGCTTTCCCRCCCTCCTCCGTGAGTGCTTTCTCGGTCTGTCCCGACTGTTCAGGTACGGTGAGATTAATCTAATTATAAWTTTTTCCAATTCAAACAAATCCTCCTCCGAACATCTCACCAGACGTAACGCGACGTACTTCTGAACGCAACATCTCTGCAACCAGTTATACAACCGCTGGTTGCGCYGCCCAGACTCAATCACATCCTGATTACCGACTCTAAACAGATGCTCCCTCCATCGTACATCCAGTGATCTGGCTGTCSCACCCACATACATATGCCTWGCCCATGGTGAAACTAACACATAGACGAGAGGACCGCTACACTTGACCAAGTCAACTCCATCATCGCAAATCACATTGAAATAACTCWMCAACTTCKTCGCCCAAGATATTTCMCCACGCACTATMAAAGAAAGGACCGCTTGCTGATAATCCCCATTCAATGTTCCCTTCTTCCATTGATTTACATCGGCAGTCTTATATCGATTGACTATCCTCCACAACTCTGTCGCGTCCGGGAAGTCCCCTCAAGCCGAATCTGACGGCACATCCTCTACCTCCACACCAACTTCTCCTTTACCTTTGTCAACCGCAGACTCCTTGTCATCTTTAGTCTCTACTTCCTTTGCCGGATTCGAAGTCTCKCCAAGCTTCTTTCYGAAGCGCGCAACAGCCCTTATCTCTGCCAGCTCATCAGCCGTCTGTTCAATAGTCTTATAGTCAATCCCTTCTTYCAAACATATCTTTTCAAGTSCGRATTTTTTCAAARCATGCAACTTCTTYTTTTCTTCCYRCAGAAAGACAAAGCGATCATTCTCTCCACCAGCGCCACTATCTTTCCTTGGCGTCCTTTCTKCCAACGCCTTTGGCCTGCCTCGCCTTCCCGACTTCTGAACGCTTGCAGCCACGGCATCCATCTTGCTTTTCAAATCCGTCCCTCCCGTCAGCTGTACAGCCGCTTCGGTCGTAAGTCTCTCCACCTGTTCTCGAAGTCTGGCAACTTCTGCCTCAACCTCCCTCTTCTTGCTCTCCGCTTCCACCTTTTTTGCCTCCACATCCGTTTTTCTCTGCTTCAATGCTTCCACTTCACGCATACTGCAGTATTCCGCATCTTTCATCCTCCGAATCTCTTCTCGCATGTCCCCAGGGAGCTCCGTCACCCGTTGTCTTGTCCTTTCTCTCACACTGCTTTCCGGCGTTGTAATCGCTATCGTACCTCTCTTATTACCCGGCCTCAATGCCTCATTCATCCACAT